CCGCCCCCCTTCCTCTCTTAGAACAGAAAAAGTAATTGCTAGTCAATGCAACATAAATATAATTAGGCCAAGCTCAGAGGCTCATGACTCAGCACGACACAAAGATTTCACATCTCAAGCAGTGTTCAGCTCTGGTATGTTGGACTGTTACCATTTCAGGATGGCCTCCACAAGGACAAGTGGGCACCTCATCCACCGTTTATGACATCACAAAGCCAAGGGTTGGGACTAACCTATATTTGCCAACGTCTTTACTCACTGCTCCTTGTGCTGTTCAAAACCACATTTACTAGGTAGTCAGAACGAGAACCAATGGATACCCACACATATTTTGTAAAGAGAAGTTCCAGTTATCGTTCTAGGACTACATTGTAGAGTAGAGGGCATTAAAACGATGGGTAAAAATACTGAGTCAGAGCAGGTCGTACACCACATCGCTTCTCTCGTGCTGAAGCCTCGGGCTAAGGGAGCCAGTGGAGTTTTTTCACAGCAACCATATTAGCATCTTTTTCTGAGAACGGTGCATTTGCCCTTCCTGGCAGTAGTACCTCTCTTCTCCTAGAAGCCAGATTGATTGATTGATTGATTGATTGATTGATTTCTTTTTTTTTTTTTTCTATAGGGCCTGTGTGCTCTCCAGAAAGACACAGAGAGACAGAGAGTGAGAAATCACCCCACAGCAGGGATGACCACACCGCAATCTCTTCTCCTCCATTCTCCTCTCGGGATCTTGGGCATGCACGCACATGGGCCCTGCATGAGTTTAAGCCACTGAGTCTGGGACTTGAACTGCAGTCGACTACATGGGAGTCCAGCGATGTAGCCATTATGCCAACTGCTGGTCCCAAGAAGCCAGATTTCTAACCCATACCCCATAGATCCTTTGTGTTACTGGAAGAAAGGCTGAAAAGGAATGTCAACATTGAAGCTGTCCCCGAGACTGATCCATACGTCCCTGTTCTCTGTCCCCGCGTGTCCTAGCATGGACCGCTCTTATCACAGGCTATGCTTGTCTGGTACTCTCATGTGGCTTTTATCTTTGTTCTGTTACATTGTGCATGCACTAGCCAGAGACGAGGTGTGGGGGGAGGGGCGAGAAAGCAACTACTAAGGGGGATGATCACACAGCAATCCCTTCTCCTCTGTTCTCCTGTCGGGATTTTGGGCACACATGCACAGGTGCCTGGCCTGTTTTTCATGTCAGCAGGTCTGGGATGCCAAGGCACAGTTGGCCATATGGCAACTACTCCCTTTAACCATCTCATCACTGGCTAGCCCAGACTTTTTTCTTGATATTTTAGCAGCTCTATTTTATCCGTTGTTGGTTCTCGGAGCCCAGCACTGTTTTAACGTCCATGAATGAATGAATGGACCAAGATTTGTAGCAAAAGCAAGGCACATGTATACCACTAGGAATCCTATGGTGAGGATGTGAATGAACCAGTATGTCCTAAAGCAGGCGATTCTTTCCCCCTCGCACGTACACCAGCAGTGAGAAGCTACAGAGGGGTCACCGGTCTGCGGACACACCCTGAGCCTTCCACACAGACGCGCTGAGTTACATCAGAGTCTCTGCCAGTCCGTTTCCTCCCACCTGTGGAAACATTTCTACTTCACGCCGAGCAGAGCCCAGAGAACAGCAATGATCTCATGATCGAGTATTATCTGTAGTTCACAGAGACAGGGATACAAACAGTTTGTGCAAAGTCAGTGACGGATGGAAAATGTCATGTCCTTTTCCGAACTGGGTGATTCCCTACTGATTAGAGCCCTTTTGGGGTGACGCATCTCAGACTCTGAGATTTCGCTGCTCTAACCGCTATTTTTCAGTGCCTGAGATTTTTACTCCTTCACCGATCAAGGACGGCCCTCACACAGGACGTAGCTACATCTCCCTTCCAGCCTGGAAGGGAAGAATACCACCACTAGTAGGCCTAGCTCATGGCAAAGCGTTTCCTACCCTGCAGGACGTGGCCCAGCAATGCTGGAACTGCCCAGCCACGGTCAGTAATTCTTAGGGTAGCCGTGTTTTAGGTTTCACATAATCTTAAATGCTCACGCTATGAAAACGACTCCCGTGTTCCTAACGGGGTTCCCGAGACCTGGGAACACTTCCACTTAGATTCAGTGGTAAGGACCAAAGAAAAGCATTGAGGGGCCTCCTCGCGCCTTTGCGCTTTTTAATAGACTCCTTTGAGGGCTTTGGCTAACGCAGTCATTTCCAGGAGAGGAAGCCGCCTTTCTTCCATGCCCCAAGCAGCTGGCGGGAATCGACGGGGCGGCCACATCTGCACACCCTGGGGGCCAATCGCTCACGCGCGGTCGGTGACCGCGCCCAGCGGCAGGCTCGGGGGCTCCTGGGGGCGCGGGGCGGGGGCCTGAAGGGAGTGGTCTCGGAGGGGTGCTCAGGGTGCGGCCCAGCCTCCGCTCGCATTTCCACGTGTGCTCCCCTTGACCCTTCTTTTCCGGCCCCACCCTCCCCTGCCGCCGCCCGGGCACCACGGCGTCCGGGCCAGCTCCCTGGGCCCCCACCCCCGGGATGAGTAACCAGCTGAGCCCGGGGTTTACTACTGCGCCCGGTCGCCTAGCAGCGGGCGTGCGTTGCCACGGCGACGCGCAGGGAACGTGTTTTGAATTGTTTGGCAAGGCCCAGTGGCAGCGGCAGACCGTTTTGGACTTCTCCACCGGGTGGGGCAGGGAGCCGGGGCTGTTGCTTCCTCCAGTCTTCCTGCTTCGGATGGGAATTGCGTCCTGGGGGCCCTCCCAGAGAACGGGCCCGCCGGGTGTGGGGCTGGGGCCAGGCAGCTGGGGCTGCTGCTGCTGCTGCATGGCCGGGCTTGAGTGGGGGAGGAGACCCAGGTTGTCGGATCAAGTCCCCCCCCACCCCCCAGGCCAGGGGTCAGGAGATGCAGCGTGGCTGCCCAGCCCAAAGACAGCCGTTTCCCTGTCCCCACTTCCAGTTCTCTGAAGGCACAGTCCCTGGCTCCTGTTCAGAGGAAGGGGATCTCTTGGCCTCATTTCTTGGGTCTGCGTGTTGGGACTTCGTGACTGCAAACCCCCGGGCATGTCTGAGTTCTAGTTCCTGTCCACCTCTGCTGCACTCAAGATTTTGTCAAGTTCTGTGACCTCCCTGAGGCCCTTTTCACAGTTCTTCTGTGAACAGCAAGAGGTGGGCAGAGTGAGCCTGTCCTGCCCCTGGGCCCCTTCCAGACCCTTCACACGCATCTCCAATCCTCACAGCCATCCTTCTGTTCTCCAAATGGGGTTCAGGGTCAGAGCATGGACTTGCCCAAGGCCACATGCTAATAAATAGAGCCCACATTCCAAATTCTTGTCCACCTGAGTCATCAAAAGGGTGCCAACTCAGGAAAGAGGGCACGATCACCCTTAATAAAATTCAGGCTGAAGCCCAGATGATGGAAATTCTCATGGAATGAGGCAGAGGATTGTGTCCCACACTGCTCAGGCACACACGGTCATGCGTGGTTTAAAATGGGCCTGTACTGGGAGCAGCTCCTCCTTAGACTGTTCACCCCTGTGCAGGCATCAGTGCCCTTACCAAACCTAGATGGGATAACCAACTCCACACCGAGGCTACTGGGTTAGCTTACTATCACCTTATACCAATATATACTTTTACCTGTTCTAATCCTACACCATTGTCGTCTCTGCCGTGGGCCTTGACCGGAAAGTCCTCACACAACATTAGCAAACAGACTTTCCCTCAGGCCCTCTGTGTCTCACCGAAGTCAGTGATTTAAAAAAGAAAAAAATCGCTCTAAGCCATGACTGGCTTTTTCTGTCATGTTCATATCCACTTCTTCTTTTTGTAAAAGAATTAGTTAATTCCATTTGTTATTATTATTACTATTATTATTTTGATTTGACCAGACAGACAGAGAGATAGAAAGGGAAACCAAGAAAGCAAAGCAAGCCGTCAAGTCAGGGATGCGAACCCCGCATCAGCCACATGGAAATCCCGCACCTTTAACCACCACACCTCTTGTCCGCTCCCACGTCCACTGCTAAGGTTCTCCTATTTACAATCTGATCACTTTGAACTTTTCCTGGATTAAGGAAGCTGCCTGAGCCTGTGCTCCAATGGCTCTTCAGAACCACTCACCCCGTTCTACAGTCCCAGGAGTGCCTGTTACCTAGGTTAGCCTGCCCTTTTGAGGATCTCCAAGTTCCAGCTCAACAGCTCACTACATTGTCGTGTGTGTGTGTGTGTGTGTGTGTGTGTGTATGTGTTTTAGTTCCTTTGCTAATTACAGGCTTCATTTTCACTCCTGAGAAAGGCCAGATGTGTGGAATGAATGCCATTTGCTTTTTTAGAAACCCTTTGAGCTGAAAGGTGGCGCTTTCAGTATGAGGGCAGGCTGGCCATTTCTGGATATGGGTGAAACCCTAGACAAGCCAAGATGTCTCTGCTGACCTTCTGTGAGGGTCTTTCTGGATCTGGAATGATTCCTGAAGACTCTCCCCAATCTTCTGAGACCAGAGAGAGCCAGAGATGGCTTTTATTCAAGATCCGAAGTGCCTTCCAGCAGGGCCTTAGGGGCGCCTCACCATTCCTTGGTGTAGAACTCAATTCTGCTTTGAGTTCTTTAGGGTGATACACATCTCTCTAGTTGCCACCACCACTAGGCCTTTACCAGGGACCAGATTTTTGACAGTATGAATCATACAGATGTAAGGAAAAAAGAATAGCTCTAGGGCTGCAACCAACCTTAGGAACAGAGAGGAAAAGGCAGATGAAGAGGAAAAGGAAGAAAAATGTAAGTTTAAATGGAATAACGAAAAGGCCAGAGGTTGAGATATAGGTTCAAGTAACACATTTTCATTCCATTTTGTGAACCCTTCAGAGTGTTCTTAAGCTTCTTACTGGAAGCACGTGTAATAAACTAAATCGATGAATTAGCATAACCTGCGTTACAAATTCAAAATTAAGGGTACTACACTTCTGAGATAATCACGAGATTTCTGTAATCTGTACCTACCTCCTGGGTGAAACAAACATTCTGAGTCAGTTGAGAGGGAATGCTCATTCACTTCTGTAGTTCTGAGGCAAAGACCTTTGAGCCTCTGCTCTGCTCTTAGTTGAGTAGAATGAGTGCTTAGCAAGAAGATGAATCAGCTCCCCTCTTGCCAGCAGAGGGGTGAGGTGGTGTGAGGTGGATTGAACAGGATGTTAAGGTTGTCCCAAAGCAGGACACCAGTCTGGGTGGGGCCAAGTGACAGAGAGGGTTTACTCTGTGATGTCACAGTGCAGGGCAGGGGTCCCAGTGCTGGGCCTAACTCCCTCCCCCATCGCAGAAGGATGACCATGTTAAGTACTTTCCAAAGGCTGAGATGTCATCTGAGGTCATCTCGATTAGTGCTTCTCCTGATGTACTTAAGACTCACTTTGGCAGCTTAGTCAAATGTAGATTCAGGGGATTTGAGATGGCTCCCCTAGGATGCCAGTCAGACCACCTGAGCCATTGGGCTCTAGACTAGAGCTGCCCAAGAGAAATACAATCTCAACCCATTTGATTTCCAATATTCCAGTAACCACATTTAAAAAAAGCAAAGTAGAAACACAGATTGCAATACAATAATATCTTACGCAATATTTTGGTCAAAGTAAAATACAGTACTCCCCAAACAATAAAGTTGGCTTCAAAGCAAAAATACATTGCTTCCATTTTAAATGAAAATTTAAATAAATTAAAATGAAATAAAAGTAGAAATTTAGTTCCTTAGTTATACTATCTACATCCTAAGGGCTCAGTAGGCACATGTGGCTAGTAGCTACCATATTGGATAGTACACTCTAAACTATTCCCTGAAAAGGTAATAATGCATGGAAATAACCATTCCAAAGGACCAGTATCTGGAATCCTAGTTGACATTCTCTAACATAAGTTTAATGAATACAAAATTAGGATTGGAAACTACTAATACTGAAACATAACTCTCTGAAGCTTGAAGAAAGGGCTGTTGGCTTTTACAGTCGTTAGGCAGAGTCTGGCTGACCTCTTTTGCCTTGAGAAACATGTCACACTCAATTCATGTCTGAGCGTTTATCAGAGATCCCTTTCATTGAAATTCTTTCCTCCTTCTTGCTACTCCACCTTATACAACCTCAGGGCACATGCTTCCAGTCTCAGTGCCTTGTTATCCTAGGCCTCATTACTTCTCTTTCCTTTCAGTGCACATAGCATATCTGGTCTAGCTGTGCGATGGGTCTTCACCTGAGGTCTTGAGCTTTTTGTTTTAGCTGTGTTCATCTGTTTTTCTCATGTAATTCTAAGCTGTTTGAGGACAGAACCTAAGTTTTACTTGTTCAGTGCCTAATGGAGTGCAGAAGGCATAATAGATGCTCAATAAATATTTGTTACTTTATTTAATGACCTAAGATACCTACATAAAATGTCTAAGAGAGAATATCAGATCTAAAAGTATCAGTAACTTCTTTGCATGTCTCAAGTCGATCAGGATGTCAGTTCTCCTTAGTTTACAAATTTAATATAACCATCAAAAGAACCAATGAATATTTTAAAAGACCAAGGCAAATTAATATTAAAGTTCATATAGGAAAAAAAATGCGGAAGACTAGCTAGGAAAATGCTTAAATGGAAGACCTCTAAGGTGGGATAAGCCCTAAAAGACATTAAATCATGCTCCAAAGTCTCTGATGAAAGCCATGTGGTACTGAGAGATAGAAGGAGCAACAGGGACACCCAGCAATCACAGAGACAGAAGGTAGGAGCTGCTGCCCCGCATGTGCTGAAGCCGTTGTGCCCCTCACCCATCCAGGACCAACAGGCAGGCCCAAGCCAGCCGTTTAGCTTGAGCTCTTCAGCAGGGAGCCCACCCAGCCTGCTCTGAGAGAGGAAGGGCTCTGTACTGTGGGGCACGCAATGGCCTACTACCAACATTCTGCCTGTCAGCTCAATCTCCATCCATATTGGGAGTAGTTAGATGTGGGTGTGCAAGAACCAAACACCAGAAAATAGGAGACTCTGAAGGAATTCTTTCTCTACAACTTTCTTAGCAGTAAAAGGAGAGAAACTCTGCTCTGAAATCCTAAACACAAAACTCCTACTGTGGATTTCACACTTCTCCCCATAACAGACTAGGGAAAATGGCACAGAGTTTACACATATCATAGAGAAGTGCAGGAGCACATAGCTATGGAAACATTCTCCAAAGAAGTAGGGAGAAGTGAGTATACCACCAGATGATTAAAAATCAAAGCAAAGCCCCAAGAAATGGGAGAAAATCAGGAAATACCTTCCCTACAAAGGATCATAACTTCTACAAACAATGGGTAAAACATAAGAGATCACAGAAATGTCATATGAATTCAGAATATTTATCATAAAACTCAATGAGATACAACAGAAAACAGAAAGCCAGTTCTGGGAGATGAGAAAATCTTCCCATGACTTGGAGGAGGAACTCCATAAAGAGACACACTGAAAAAGAATCAAACAGAATTTCTAGAGATAAATAATATGATGCAGGAAATCAAACCCTCTCTCAAAAGTATTAACAGCAGATTAGACCACACAGAAGAAAGAATCTCTGACTTTGAAGAAAAAAAAAACCTCTGACTTAACTGAAAAGAATAGAATAATCATTAAAAATGAGGACAATAAACTGGAACTCCTAGAAACCATGCAACAGCTGAATAACTTCATAATAGGTATTCCAGAAGGTGTAGAGACAGATAAAGGTATAGAAAACATATTTCATAACATATAAGCGGAAAACTCCAAATTTAGAGAGGTTCGTGGACATCCAAGACCAGGAAATACAAAGCACACCAAGTAGCTATAATATCCTCTCCAAAGTATATTATTGCCAAATTGGTAAAAATGACAATGTTATAAAAATGGCCAGAGAAAAATGCCAAGTTACTCATGAAGGCTACCGTATTAGACTAGTATCAGATCTCTCAACTGAAACAATGCAGGCAAGGAAAAAATGGGAAGACATATTTCAAACTCAGAGAGAAAAGCAATTTCCGCCAAGAGTATTATACCCAGCAAGATTATTCTGCAAATGGGAAGGAGAAGTAAAATCATTCCAAGATAAACAAATGCTGAAAAAATTTACCAAGATAAAATTGGCTCTCCAGGACATTATTAAGGGACTACTATACCAGGAAAACTAAAAGGAGATAAACAGAAGAGAATATAAAACAACTAGGAAAATAAAGGATAAGTCCACATGTATATATATATATATATTTTTTTTGAGAGGTTTTTGCTATAGGGCGTGTGCGCTCACCAGACAGACAGAGAGAAACATAGAGACAGAAAGTGAGAAATCACCCCCCAGGGGGGATGGCCACGCCGCAATCCCTTCTCCTCCATTCTCCTCTCGGGATCTTGGGCACACACGCACACGTGCCCGGCGTGAATTTTAAGCCACCGGGTCCAGGACATGAACCGTAGTCGACTACATGGCAGTTCAGCGACATAGCCATTACGCTAATTGCTGGTCCCAAGTCCACATATATTAATAATAACATTGAATGTCAAGACTAACTTTCCCAACTAAAAGACTAAAAATGTGCTTTCAGCTATTTTACACACAAACAAGTTTAAATATAAATTTGCCAATTTGATAGACAGCTGTCAACACAGGTTTTAATTCAGACATTTATTATAACCATTACTCATTGTGTAAAACAAGATAATGGAACGGAAGTCCAAAATGTTACAAGTAGCTGAATCTTTTTTTGGAATGAATTTAAAAAAGACTAAAACCAAGAACTGTGTAAAGCCTATACATCACCAAATTACTGGCTTTACCATGTCTTCACTTTTAACATCTCTTTCCAATTTTGTTTTGTTTTTACTTTTTCAAGGGCTTGTTTCCTTATGCACAGTATAGTACTGTGGTCTCACAAGAACTCACAGTGTGTGAATAAGTGTTCTTTTTCTATCTCTTCCTAATGAGCTATTATGTACAATATTACTTATCTCTAACTGGACAAATGATTAATACCCACAGATAATTTTCAGATTATAAACTCTTATCTTCCACAGTCTTCTACTGTGGAAATTAGAAATTCGTCTTTTATTAACTATGTTAAGATTATCTTGGTTAATTTATGAGATATTTTATGCCTGAGTTTTAAACAATATGTTTTTCTTTAGAACTGTATCTCACAGTAAAGCATGTCATAAATGACTTAGTACATACTTGCAGAATAACCATTGGGGCGCGGGGCGCCCGGCGGAAGCCGC